TTCCGCCCCAAGATTCCGCTTCAAAATTCCGCCCCAAGATTCCGCTTCAAAATTCCGCCCCAACTCATTTGCATATTTCGTCTCAATTCCGCCCAGAATCCGTCCCGTTTCCGCCTGGAATCCGGCCGGAATCCGTGCCAAAAGCAAATGGTTTAACACTTGTATATTTGGGGGAGAATTTAAATTTCTGGGCGGAATCTGCCATTGAATTCCGCCTCATTTCCGTGCAGAAAATTTCGTACAGGCAGTAAAAACTTGAAAAAATCATCTGTAATTGACAAAGGCTACAGGTTAGACATTTTGCATTTAACATTGTAAAGTGAACGTCTAGCAAGATTATTCAAATTAAAGTCTTCCAGGGTCAAAATTGGCCCCGCCCCTGGGGATCATTGATTTTCAGTCACTATGTCAAGTAAAAAATTAAAAATCTTATTGTCTGAAGGTACTAAGCTGATAATAACAGTTAGGTTAGTGATCTATGCATTATTGCAATCTGTTTATAAACAAAAAAAAAATGTGTTCCTACATTACTACAATGTATTTAGTGCTGTTTTTATGCGGTGGCATGGCATTTTTAGCTCACCTGTCACAAAGTGACAGGGTGAACTTTTGTGATCGCTTTTCGTCCGGCGTCCGGCAGTCCTTAAACTTGTACTTTAAATGACATCTCCTTATAAACCACTAAGCCAATTTTATTCAAACTTCACAGGAATGTTCCTTTGGTGGTCACCTTTAAATATTGTTCAAAGAATTTAATTCCATGCAGAACTCTGGTTGCCATGGCAACCAAAAGAAAAAACTTTAAATATCTTCTTAAAAAAAACCTAAGAGCTAGAGCTTAGATATTTGGCATGAAACATCTTCTAATGAGTGTCTACCAAGCATGTTCAAATAAAAGCCCTGGGGTCAAAATTGGCCCTGCCCCAGGGGGTCATTGATTTTCCCTATATTCATATTGTAAAAACTTAAAATATCTTCTTTTAAAGAACTCAAAGAGCTAGAACTAAGATATTTAGCATGAAGCATGTTCTAATAGATTTATAGTAAGTTTGTTCAAATAAAAGCCCTGGGGTCAAAACTGGCCCTGCCCAGGGGGGTCATTGATTTTCCTTTTTATGTATATCGCAAAAACTTAAAAAATCTTCTTTGAATAAAAATCAAATAGCTGGAGTTTAGATATTAAGCATGGCACATCTTCTAGTTGGTGTCTACAAAGTTTGTTCAAATAGAAGCCCTGGAGTCAAAATTGGCCCCGCCCCGGGTGTTATTGAATTTCCTTATATTTGTATAGCAAAAACTTAAAAATCTTTTTTGAAAAAACCCAAATAGCTAGAGTTTAGATATTAAGCATGAAACATCTTCTAATGAGTGTCTACCAAGTTTGTTCAAATAAAAGCCCTGGGTTCAAAATTTGCCCTGCCCCAGGAGGTCATTGATTTTCCCTATATGCATATAGTAAAAACTTAAAATATCTTCTTTTAAAGAACTCAAAGAGCTAGAACTAAGATATTTAGCATGAAACATGTTCTAATTGGTGTCTACCAAGTTTGTTCATATAAAAGCCCTGGGGTCAAAATTGGCCCCGCCCCAGGGGTCAATGATTTTCCTTATATGTATATCGCAAAAACTTAAAAAATCTTCTTTGAAAAAAAACCCAAATAGCTGGAGTTTAGATATTAAGCATGAAACATCTGCTAGTGGGTGTGTACAAAGTTTGTTCAAATAAAAGCCCTGGAGTCAAAATTGGCCCAGCCCCGGGTGTTATAGATTTTCCTTATATTTGTATAGTAAAAACTTAAAAATTCTCTTTGAAAAAACCCAAATAGCTAGAGCTTAGATATTAAGCATGACACATCTTCTAGTAATTGTCTACAAAGTTTGTTCAAATAAAAGCCCTGGGGTCAAAATTGGCCCCGCCCCAGAGGTTTCATTGGTTTTAACTATATGTGCATAGTAAAAACTTAAAAAATCTTCTTTGAAAAAAAAACTCTATGAGCTAAAGCTTAGATGTTTAGCATGAAACATCTTCTTATGGGTGTCTACCAAGTTTGTTCAAATAAAAGCCCTTGGGTTAAAATTGGCCCTGCCAGGGGGGACAGAAGGAGGGGGGGGGGTTAGATCGTTGTTTTTCATTATATGTGTGTAGTAAAAACTTAACATCGTGAAACATCTTCTAATGGGTGTCTTCCAAGTTTGTTCAAATAAAAGCCCTGGGGTTTAAACTGGCCCTGCTCCGGGTGCCTTTATACAGGTGAGCGACCTCAGGGCCATCATGGTCCTCTTGTTTACAAATGCAATCTTGTTTTAACCAGAGATAATTTCTTTCTACTGAAGTTATTCCCTTAACCACCTTTCCAACCTACTTCTGTTGAGAACATTGGTAGAGGTATGAATCGCATTCAGGGAGTTCTACTTACCTTTGATTTTCCACAGTATTTATTGTTATTGTAAGTAACCAGTGACTTCCAGGGCATACGTTTCCCTGGCAGTAAATGAAATTTATAACATTCCATTGCAGCCATTGTTTTTGTAGCAACCGTTTTCTTTATATAGGAATTAGTTACTTCAAAAGTAACCATTGTCTTCCATAGCAACCATTGTTTTCAATAGAAACTAGTGACTTCCATAGCCACCAATATCTGTCTAAAGCAACATTTGACTTTCAACAGTTACCATTGTTTCCTATATTAACCTTTGATTTCTATTGCAACCATTGGGCTGCAATAACAACCATTGATTTACATAGCAACCATTAGCGTTCACAGGAGACGTTGACTATAGTGTCTTCCATAGCAGCAGTGTGTATTTTGTTCTTGTCTTGCCATCTGTTAGCAGGTTTTTAGTCCGGTCTGTATCTTTTGAACCAGTGGATCGAAATTGAAACTTCTTGCTATAATGAGACATTTTTCTTGACCTTCCTCAGTTTATGGTCATATTTAGTCCTTTTTCGTCTTTGCTCTATTATCTATATATCTTTTGAACCGATAGAAAGATAGAAAGATATTTTTTACAGAAATAAAACTATTAACACTGATTAAGTATAAGTCAATATGGCAGTTTCCAAATATGGAAAACTTAGCTCCGCCTACTGGAATAGACGATTCTCTCGTGGTAAAAAAATAGAAAGCCATAAATATGCATAGATTCCTGACCTGTGTAATTCTTATTACATGTACATGTATCAGATTAGTGGATACAATAAGAATTTCACCACAACATATGTGTAAGCAAAAGAGCACATGTCAATGTTTGTACTAAAATTAGTTATTTTTTTTTGTTATTCAATTGAAAGGTCAGAGTAGGGATCTATCCATTGCGCATTTTCTTGACGTAAACAAGTAAATTCAGGAACATTTTTAATAAAAGGCTATAGAAAGATATGTTAAGCACAGTGTAACTCATTTTCTGTGCATGCTATTTAGTATTTACCCGTTAACATATTACAGAAAACAGTTCCAGGACTTAATGTTTTGTCTGCAACAAGGCAAACCAATTTTATGGACTGACCTATAACATATTTATGCTTTATAAAAGTAGGATGGAAGGAGTGACATACAGTATCTCTATAAATTAAAAGAGCCCTTTGCCCACAATAAGATTAGTATGATGAGCAACATTTAGGAATCTTTATATATCATTACTGACTGAAGCACAAATGGTGTTTTCCCACAAAATAGCTCAATTTTTACAAAATGACTGGTCTGAATTGTTCAACCTGATATTACATGACATAAACGATGGACGGTCGTCATATGTATATGCCCACAATATGTTAGGCTACAAAATTCAAATCACAGCAAAATATTCCTAAAGTGTAAATTTGATTAATTCATTACCTTGTGAACTTCTGCAAAACTGATACTTGTATAATCATGTCCCTGGAGTCAATATTTGACTCAATTTATATAAATTTTTACAGGAAATCACTCTAAAGTCTTAATTATTGTGTGAATAGACAAAGCCTAGTGCTCAGATATGTGACATGTTGCATCAATTTGTAGATTTCTAGAAAAGTTATATTAATCATGACCCTCGGGTCAAAATTGGACCTGTTCCGGGATTTACTTGCCTTATGTAGACTAAGGTATAGAAAAACGCATCTTATCTTTTTGTGGATAAATACTATACCTCTATATTTGGCATATATCATTGTCTAGTAGACCTCTATAAAACTGTAATTAATGAATTATGAACTAGGGTATAAAATGCCTCGATCTTGGAAGTCATATAGTTTCATAAGGATAATTCAAATAAAATATTTTTCAGATAAGTATCTGGTTTCTAAAGGTCTTTTGAAATCTAATTGAAAGACTTTTGTTAATAATTCAAGCAAATTTACATTCGAGCGTATGATGCCCCGCCTTTGCGGTGCTTTGTTATAGCAACCAACGTATTTCATAGCATAGCACCATATAGAAACAATTGCCAGTGACTTTCCATAGCAACCAGTTACTTTCAAAGCAAGCATCTTTTTTCTTAAATTTACATTATAAATATATGTTTAAACCTTTATTTGTTTACCTTTAGAAAAGGTAATAAAAGTCGAGCGTTGCCCTGACCCAGCGGTTGATCTTGTTTAAGGAAAGTGGGACTTAAAATCCATCTCACTCCCTTGTGCCTAACCAATGGATATAAACATTTTGTGTATGCAACTTCATTCATATTTTGTTAACCACAACAGAAATTATTTTAATACAATTCCACAAAGGCATCATCTACTTTCTTAGTCACATTATGTACATGTATAATATAACTTTAGTATAGGGTTTATAGAATGTTAGTCCATTGTGAACTGATGAAAATTTCTCGTAAAGGGCCTAAACAAGTTATAACTGAAATTATATACTTAAAACAAAAGTCCCCAGGGTCATTGTTATATTAATGATAACTGTTGGCTGTTCCATACTAAGATTTATTCACAATAATATCAAATTATTGGTCCAAAAACGTTTATACACCTTCCCACTTATAAATCGATATGAATATGAAATTGTTAACTTGTTTACTTTGATTGCCATCTGTTGTGAATATTTTAATCTTATCTTTTGATTAAACCGAACATTTGTTGAAAACAAAGGAGTAAATAAAGTATAAATTCAACTTTTCAGATTCAGTTTTCTTTAACTTTATTGTGCACAAAAGGACTGTTGAGGTAAGTCAAATTATCTTATTTTGTCTTTTCTTTTACACTTTGGTAAAATATATTCAGAAACTGTTCAGTGATTATTATTTGTTGTTAAAAATTACTTCTGTATTGTTAGTTTTATATTACAATGGAAAGCGTTGTTGATATTTGTTTAGTTATTGTTTAATTTCATTCTATTGCCAATGAATAAAATTCCAGGAGAAGACTTATTTAAATTGTAATGTCAAAAAGAGAAAAATATATATGTCTTTATGATAAACAAAAAATTCAAGATTGTTTCTCTAAATAAAGGATTTATTTTTATCTTGTGGTATTAAAAGTATCATATTCACTAGTGGCTACCGCCAATCATGAAATATTCATTTTCATACCACTCAATGAAAATAAATTTTGTATTAATAGGCGAAAAAAAACATGAGAATTTTTATTTTATTAAAGATTTAAATGATCATTCGAATTTTCAAAATAACTTCTTGCATAATGAAGAGGAAAATATTGCAGATAAAAATCGATTACAGAAAAAGAAAATAAATTGAAATAACAACTCCGAAAATGCAACATACTGTTACACAGTAGCCATGCATTTAATTAAATTTTCAATTTGATTACAATTTTACATGTAAGGTTCAATTACCAGAGGGAATGTTAGTAGATTTTAGCCAGCTTAATTTATCAACAAATTGACATAAGTCGGCTGTTGTTCAGTCACTGTTCGTATGACAAGTTTGCATAGTTACAATTTAGTTTAAACAAGATTTATTTCCAAAATTTAAAAATATAGATATACATTACAACCAGAAGACATTGTTTTACGAAAATGTTAAGTCATGTATGACTTAAGATATAAATTTAGAAGTAAACAATACTTATGGCTTTATAACTTAATTGAATTCTGAAGAAGATATAATAACAAGTCCAAGACTTATTCATATTCTCAGTGGGTTGGAAAGGATGATGCTGACTCGTAAAAATTAACGTATAATGCTTTGAGATATGAATTTAGAAATTAAGTTTAATTACATTTCAGGGGAATTGATTGCTTCTTTAGCATTTGGTTAGGGGCTGGGGGAAACAGTCTGCGCTTGGTTGTAAAATACAGGGGGAACATCGCTTGATAAAACATTCTACGCCTTATGTTAAATATTGATTTTTTTTAAAGAATCATATCAGATTTATAGCACATACCTTTTGCGACTCCTTTAAAATGGCATCACAAATTTTGATGTATTATCACTTGCGTCATACCAACATACCGTGAACGTGCGCTAAATGTTAGCATTATAAAATGCGTTAATGAAAAAAATATTTTTTAAACTAAAAATATTCTTATTTTGGTATGAGATAAAAAAAAATTACATTCCTGTAGCTTCATTACTAAATTCATTTAACTAGCTGAATGAAATGCTCGCAAAATATGATTTTGTTAAATTCAGTTTTGGAATTCCACTGCTTCAATATCCTTTATTTATCTAGTTGTCCATCACGCTTACCGACATATTTCTTACACATTTATTTTAGGTTTGAAAGAGTAATCGTTCAAATTTTTCAAGCCTTCCAAGAACCTGTATTTACAGCATATATCTTAAATCATGAAATTCTTCACAGTTTTAGCGCTGGTAAGTCATTTTAACATATTTTCATAAAAGCAGCAAAACTACATTTTTTTTTGACAAAAATAGTAATATAGTAGTATATATGATATTCTTGAAACGACATTGACCGTCACTGTCAGTTGTATTGAATTTTCTTTAAGTCCGTTTAGTTGTAGATTTGATTATTCACACTTCGACAAAACAACACTTTTGGCAAAGGCTTCATTTTGAAACATTTAAATATTGCTGTGACCTTAAAATGGCTATGACCATAAAGGTTAAGTAAGGAAATTTGCTTTAGTTGTTTTTTGTTATTCATTAGCCCCTGTAAAATTCACATTGTGACAAAACAACACTTATTTGTGGCAACTCCAAAACATGAAAACATTCGAGAATTACCTTGATCTTGAATAACTTTGACTGTATATGCCGGATATGAAATCCTGAAAGTTTTATACAAAAATGACACCTCAGTGTTCTTCCGCCAATGTGATTGCATTTAGAAAACAGAAACGTTGAGCGTAAAGCGATTGTAAACATAAGATTTGGTTTGTCCTACATGTTTATATCATCGAAATATTCTTTGCGGGTTCTGACCATTTTTATTATTAAAACAATACATTTTTTTATATTAAATGTCATATTCTTGCAGGTCTTTTGTTGTTTTTATGGAGAGATTAGTGGAATGCCTACCTACCTTGGAAATTGCGATACCGATGCCGACGTATGTATTAAAATATAAAGTATATTTGATTATAATATCAAGATTTCTTATTCATTTTAATATTGGGATAATGAAATAGTTATATTAGGATTTTAATCTTAAATGTAAATCCAACATTGAATGTTGTGAGCTATGTCTAAGAGATATTCTAGTCATTATTGGCATTGGTAAATGCAAGCTCTCTAACATGAGCTCCGTAAAACACCTCATATGATATTTAAAGGTTACTTACCTTATTTTCCCCATTTCGATAAAAATTGACATTAAAAGGAATCTCCATCCGTTCTCTAGTCCAGCTACAATTTTAACAATCTGGTTTCATTAGCCTGACAGAAATGTAATTTATAAAATAATAGAGAAATGAGGTTCTATAAAACCATCTAAAGACAACAGATGTTTTTGTGTTATTACCCTTTGCTCCCTTTAAAGGGCACTTTGAAGAGACATTTCCAGTTTCAAACCACATTTTATAATTGGAGGTTTGGATTGCAATGACGCTCGTGTATATTATGATCAGGAAATGAAGATGATCAAAATTAGATGTGTATAATGATTCATTTTAGAAGTTTCATATGTGTTTTGGATCTTTTTAACTTGTAAATAGCCATTATATTATATCACTATGTAATATACTTTATGTATTTAGAAGCTTAAAGTGATTTGTAACCCAATGTATATTTCAGTTTAAATTAAGCATATCTTCTTATATATTTTTATTTGCATTAAATTAGCATATTTATTTTTTTCCGTAAAAATAGTGTACAAATTCAAGCGTGTGTATGTTACCAGGATTCGGCAAGGCCTCCGCAAAAGCTCAAAATAAATGCTACTTTTGTAAGTTATGTTTATTGATTCACACGTATCTATGTTTGGGTTGAAGCAACACAAGTATCAACGTAAATTAACAAACTATGTCACTATAGCGTATTACTTTAGCATGTTTAGTAGTTGAAACGTGGATTACAACGGGAAACATAGTAAGAATTACAAACATTACCTACATTGTGACAGTTAATCATTTTCTCAACTTCTACCACAACTAAACCTATTTAACTCAACTAAACCTATTTAATTCAACTAACCGTATCGAAAGAGATATATTTACAGGTGAATGCATGCTAAGGAATCAATGTAAGATGGTGGACAAAAACATGACTTGTAACTGTACGGGATCCGGTTATACAGGATTATATTGTGAAACCCGTGAGTATCAAATGTCTTTGTCTTAACATCGTTTGTACAATGGTAGGATGCTACGTCATCGCATAAAAGAATGGATTAAATACTTGATATAAAACATGTATTATAAAACGTTTAAAGTTTTACTGTCTAGTTTAAGCTTGAAAACGGGATAAATTTTGTTTGGGAGTTCGAGAGGGTGCATTTACGAAAACCGTTTTCTGGACTAAACTAAGGAGTATTTAACGTTTGTTTATATTATATGAAGAAATAAACCAATCTTTGGTGAGCTACATTTTTTTTAACATTCTGACAATTCTTTAGAATATAAACATATTTTACCTTCGGGATGTTCACACACACACAAACGCACGCACACGCAAACACGCACGCGCACACACAAGCCAAAACCGAGTCCGATCTGGAGCATTTGGCAGATGTGCGATTGCGTAGTAATATTATCCTACCATTGTATGTACTGCAAAAAATGAAATGGCTTAAGCTGAATTATTAATTGTCAAATTTGATACACAGTCGAGGTAAAACCTGTTTGAAAGACTAATTACATTTAATCAAAATGTCATAAATAAAGCATTATCCAAACTTTTCTCTCTCTTTTTTCATGGAAAGACATACTTTGATATAAGCTATGAAAAAGGAAATACATGTGCATGTTAAATTCTAAAAATGGGATTGCTTTAAGAGTTGTTTTAATCCTCAGGTTTAACGCCATGTATCCAGTCAGATCCGTGTGTTTTCCAAGGTGGTAAGCATATCTTTATCTATAAAATCTGGCAGGTGACCTGGTTACTTTCAAAGTCGAAAGCGTCCGTGAACGAGTGGTTAAGGTTGTTGACTTCATGCCACTACACCTCACGTCTGAAGATTCGAATACCACCAGATACCTTTGATTATTTCATGTGAGGACGCTATTCAGCTAGCTTACGAAACGTCGGTGGTTCTACTTAGGTGCTAGCTCGTGCTGGAAATAATACACGGAGGGACACATGAGGTCTTCCACAGCCAGTAAAGCTGGAATATTGCCATATGAACTCAACTGTGGTAATGCGATGTAAAATCCAACCAAACAATCCTTCAGGGTTTGCTCTTTTGACCATTAAAATTGAATACTAAATGCTGTACCTCAGTTCCAATTCAACTTGTAATACTGAACGTTTTTTTTTAAATTTGATTTTATTGTGAGTTGGGCAAACTCTAATGAATTGGCCCCTCCAGCTTACTTTACCGACCCAACATATCCCCTTTTTCTGTACATTTTCCGTTTGGCATTCTTTCGGATTTTGATGAGTTATTTTAGCTTTGACTTTCATATTCTGAGGTGCTTAAAACTAAGATGCATCAATCAAGTGGTTTATATCCGCATACAGCATAGGAAATAGAAATAAATTTGCTCGCTTTCATCTTTTTGTAACTATCTGTTCTTGTCATAAAGACTATAAATAGAACATTATAAGGTTCTTGACATAAAAAAACTAGTAATATTAATAGAACATTATTATGAGGTAAGCGCAAAAATGTTTACATCTAAGAGAGCTTATGACAGGATTTAACGGTTTGCACATCACATTTTCACAAATTAAAAACATTTTATTCCAGCTAGAGAAACTAACAACCTTACTGCAACCGCCACAGCTCAGATTTTAACATCTCCTGGGTTTCCTACGTTTTATTGTCGTGATATGATACTCTACTGGAGAATATATGCCCCTGCTGACAAAAGAATTAGAATTACCGTTACTTACTTTGCGACTGAGTCTTTTGATGTGTTAGCAATATTTGAAGGTATTACATTCTCTTTTAGCTTGCATGAGCACATAAGTGCTCAGAGGTGAGCTGTTGTGATCGTACTGTGTCCTTTGTCTGTCGATATACACAATTTATTTAAACATTTTCCCTATTACTCGGTGGATTTTGACCATACTTCACTGTAAAAAACGTTGTAAAAATGATTATAGTCTGATGCATTAGTAGCTTACATGAGCTAAAAATCACTTGAAAAAAAAAGAAAAGAAATTTAAAACTAATCCCAATTCTTAGAAACTACAGTGCCTTGGGCTTAGATATTTTGTTATATCATCGCATTGTGGTCCTCTACAAATATTAAATAAGTCATGCCTCTGGGGTAAAAATGCTCCCGCCCCCGGAGGAACCTAGTTTATATAGACTTGTCTAGAATTGTACATTTAAGTCTTCTTTTCTGACACTATTATGCACAGAGCTTATATATTTGCCCACTACAAAAGATATACAAATCATCTGGGGACAAAACTGGCCTGGCCCCAGGGTTACTTAATATTGACTTATAAATTGGAAAATTAATAATTTATGTCTTCTTTTGTAAAAACAATGCATTGAGCTTTGATATGTAGCATTTTCTATTGTATCTACGTAAGTTATATAAGTTATGACCCTGAAGTTTACTCCCTTACCTCGTGGTACTTTCAAAAGTTGTATAAATCATTTTTTCCCCTTGGGTTCCCCATTTTTAAAATTTTCGTTCCTTGGGCCCCAAAATTGTAAAATATTTTTAAAAGTTAAGTCTTTTTTTGTAAAACATTGGTCAGAGGTAAGATAGTTGGCATATAACATTGTCAAATGTAAATCTACAAAATTGTTTAAGTCACGTCCGTCGAGTCGGAGATGGTCCACCCTCGTTTTCTCATAATTTACATACTTTAGACTTGTATAAAAAAAATGTATCAAGCTAAGGTATTTTGCATGTAACATAACCTTGTGGTACTTTACAAAAATTATATTAAACATGCCTAAGGGATCAACATTAGCCTCGGGGTCTTGGTTGATATAGACTTAAGTCTTTTTAATGCTAAGAACTTAGATATTTTGCGGGGTCTGGTGAACATCTACAGTCATACCCCTGGGCTCAAAAATGGCCCTGCACTGGAGTTACTTATTTTACATAGACTTGTATAGTAAACATGTTTTTAGGTCTTCTTCTCCGAAACTAAAACTTAAATATTGCCAGGTGAACCATTACAAACTGCATGTATAATTAAACCATGCCCCGTCAAAAACTGCCCCGCTAATGGAGTCTCTTACATAGATTTAATAGTCAAAATGTCTTAGATATTTCGTCTCCTTAGCAACAATGCCTAGATCTTTGCCTAACAAAAAAGTTATAAGCACAGTTACGAATAAACTGAACGCCCCTCGTAGCATTACATTGTGGTTCTCGGTAGCTTCAATAAATTATTTCGTATCAGACATCTCCAATATAAAAAAGCCAGTTTAGGGAAAAATGACAAACTAAATGTGGTCTTATTACTGACTATAGCATTGAACTATAAAAAGTGTAACCTCTTATCTCAGGTGAGCGATTCATGACCATCATTTCTTTCAAATAGATGAGCTTAAGTATTTCCTAATTATATTGTACAGTTCTGAATTCTAATGTTTATTAAATTATTATTAAATATTCAGTCACATTTATATTTACATTTTAAAATACGACACCATTTGATACCCTTTTTAACACCGTTTTTAATTGCATTTTAATAAAAGAAAATTTTTCTTTGAACATAATTATATTATAAAATAACTTTGTGTCTTAACTTTTAGGTGTGCGCATGAATGTTACACGGTTCTTTCCATCTGATGACAATCCTATAGTAGCCATTTCGAGAAATGCAGATCCGTATTTAGAATGCATTGGCTCCATTCCTTGGTTGTCTTATTCTGCTGCCACCGCAGATCTTATCAGCGAGCCGTTCGAGTCCAGTTCAAATATAGTAACGATCTACTTCTCATCGGATGATTTTATTGATCAGGGCCCCGGGTGGAGTTTGAACTACATGTACATTGATTAAAAAGGAACTTCAATTGGTTGACAAAAACTGTTCACATTTCAGAAAAGCATAGATATAATGTCAATAGGAATGTAACAATTCGACAATAACAAGAACCAATAAAAGAGCATCTGTAAAAATTTTGATTTATTGTTTATATTCTATCCACAAAAATCCTCATCTTTTCTATGCTCATTCGCACTGTTACAGTTCCTTACGACAGTAGCAGCTAACCCAGGAGCAATGCGGTGGCTCAACTGTGCACTGTTGAATTCAGTATGGCTTACTGCCGTAATCGGGAGTAATAACTACCAACATTGCCGCCAACTTACAGCTGCAAACAAAATGTCCTGGACATCATTTCATATTTTTACTTCAAAATCATTGATTCCAGTGGTTTGGATTTTTTTTGGGATAGTCATTGAGCTAGCGATTCAAAGCGTTAACGATTAGCTCCCTTTATATGAACCGAACCCATAAATTTGTACCTAGTGGAAAAAGTGTTTCACAATTTTTACCTTTTTATTGATCAGAATGGTTTGTACATAATGTATGCGCACACAAAATACATGTAAAAATAGAAAACGGAAAGTCAAAATATAATTTCTGCACCTAATTAAAGTATTCCTTATAATCTCTTTTGAAAAAAGAATAACTCTTCATATACTTTCAAATACAAACAACAAAGTTGCTCCCCTTGCATAGAGATAATCTTGATTGACTTCCAAAAGAATCCTTATGAGATGTTATAGTTCGTGTATTGACATGTATATGCAGTCAGATATCAAAGATTATTATACGCCTAAAAAAACTGCCAAAAATACAGAATTACTTCGCATACAAAAATACCTTTATGTAGCACATTGGAGTGGTCTAGTAAAAAAGTAAAATATTGCCTGATGGACAATTAACAGGCGAGTTACCACGTTGATCAAGTAAAGTAAGTTGACTATTTACGTTTACAGTTAAGGTGTTTCGATCTTTTCATGACATATAGATATAAGTGTAAGCTTTTTACAGGAGTTTACAAGTACTTTGCTTTATCTTCTGTTTGTTAAATAAAAAAAATTACGATCGGTAATAACTGTATATGCTTTATTTTTCATAAAACATTTGATAAAAAATATATTACTAATTTGTTTACCACCAAAGAATTTATTTATTCAAATTTAACTTCCTTTATTGATTTAGTTAACAAAGTCTCTGTTAACACCATCCCGTGAGTTATATAATCACATTTATGAGTGAACATCTACTTATATTATACCTCATTTGCATATGCTCTTCTATATTTAATATGACGTCATCCGGTCCATAAACCGCATTTGGACCGGGGGCGGTCCATAATTCTTATGAAGACCGTTTTAACCTAACTTTCACGACGTGCGATTTTCACGACGACACAAACAGACGATACTGTCAAAATGGCCAGGCGATTAGCTTTTTTATCACAGACATAAATTTATTACATGTTGATCAAAAGTCATGATTTGTCTTTAATTTAATTATAAATTTTATTTACACAGTTTGTAATATTCTTTAAGTCAGGGTTTTTTGCCTAGTAACATTAAATATTTAATTTGATTAATAAAAATGGAATATTAAAAGAAGAGCATGATTTTTTGCTACATCGCTTGAAAATAATAAAACAAAATCCGACTAGGGTTTAAGATATTTCACACACTGAACAAGTAAAATTATCATTTTAAAGCAAATAATAGTAAAATGACAGCACAAAACAAATGGATGAAAGGATTTAGATTCGGTATAATATAACAAATAAAACATGGCCTTTCGGGCAAAATGCAAGTTTACGGACTGGTTGGTCAGACTTTGGAAGGAATATGGCCCTCAGCTGTGGTTGGTCAGACTTTGGAAGGAATATGGCCCTCAGCTGCGCTTCGGGCCATATACCTTCCTCAGTCTGACCAACCAGTCCGTAAACTTGCATATTGCCCTCAAGCCCATGTTTTATTTGTTAAATAAAATATGCTTTGTCAATTATATGCATTCAAAACAGCCCGCATAAACTGTATAGGATGCTGGATTATCGTTACCCGAGAGATATACTCGTACGCCTTACAT